GGTTTGGGCTTGAGATGGCTTGAGGCTTTGAGTCGCGGTTCGAGATTACTTTTGCATCATGTTTTGCGGGATTGTAATACTACCTACCGAGGCCACTCGAATCATCCCGTCCCTTCCTTTCGAACCTGAAGCCACGAGAAGAGAACCTTCGGAGCACATGTTCCAACCCCGGCCCTGCTTGGAACGTTCGTGGCTGAAAGCCTCCGGTTTTGAGTTTAGGAGTTTAATGCTTAATATGGGGGCCTTAATAATTAGAATAGGGCTTTAGGGGTTCCTTATTATGCTTATAGTATAGTCTACCCCACTCTTAAGACTCCCATAGTAACTAGGGGGGAAAAGATTCTTTGCATTAGCGGAAAGGGGCCCCGACAGCTGCCAAGGGTTTGCACGCCCAGATACACATCACACCGAGGCATCCACAGCCCGTTCCGCTGTGTTTGTGCCTTTCACGACGAATGCAACGTGGGAATCTCACATCGGGATACTGACTACAACTCTCTGGCTAAAGCAAGTCTCCCGAGCTCTTGCGAGGGCTGCTGATCAAGAGGTTTTGCTGCATGATTTTGGAGCTTCTGGGTAGCCACATCCCTTCGTTTTAAAACGCCCTATACCCCAAACCCTGAACCCTGAATCTTAAAAGCATCGAGTCTTAACCTAAACCCTAAACCCAAAACCCGAAACCCTAAATCCCTAAACCCCTTAAGTAGAGCTACACGCGGACTGCGCAAGGCGGCCCTGCCTGGTGGGAGAGTCGCGAAAAGCTGCGAGGCAGAACTCCTGTTGTGGGGGAGGTCGGGTTTGGGGTTTAGGGTAGGGTTTAGGGTTTAGGGTTGAGGGTAGGGTTGAGGGTTTAGGGTTTGGGGGTTGAGTAGTAACTGGGGTATAAGTGAGTAGTACATGCAGAATGGCGCCCGGCAGCTGCATGCCACCAAATTGCCCTGCGACTACTTCACTCACTGCTGCGGGCTATCCTCGTCGAGACCTGTTTCTCAAAGTGCGAAACGACCTGGGCGGAGCTAACCCTTGGATCAGTAAACTTCATGCATCAGCATTAGCATTAGCAGTAGTACTGCAGCGGCGGCAGCACTAGGATAGCAGCAGTAGTAGTCGTCGTCGTAGTGGTAGTGAGGTAGTGGTGGTAGTCGTCGTTGTCGTAGTTCTAGTGGTGGATGGAATTGTAGTGGAGTCAATGGTCTATGTCATCAACACCGTGATGGAAGTGCTATTACTCAAGATAATTACGCTCATAATCATCACAACCACAGCCACAACACAGGAACATCCGCCGCCCCACAAGCCAACTCTCTGGGAAACTGGCATCGCGAACACTCCTGCGCCTGGGATAATGCTTCTTGTTAGTTGCACTGTCGTTGTCACAAGGGATGGGGGCGGAAATCCCAACAAACGGGATTCCGATGAAGTCCTCCTCAAACTACACGGCATGTATGCTCTGACTGCCAAACGACATCCTACTCGGCTTAATTGCTTTACGCTCTCCCTGGATCCACTTGCTGCCCCAGTCGTCGAAATAGTTTAGGGAGTTCAGGGTGCGAGTGACTTGCAACACAAGGGCTTCGACCTTCCCACTTCCAGGTCCTGGCAGGTGCTTTTATGGTGGAACGGTTCTTCTACGACTGCTCCTCTGGCGTACTCCCAAACGACGGTCGTTTTGGGGCTTCCGGGCTTAGGGTGAGTTCAGGGTGGGTTTGGGGCACACTCAGCACACGCTTTTCGATGCAGCTTCATTGGCGTGGCATATAGGGTACAAGAACTCGGGCCCGTGACTCATGCGGTAGTCCTCAGAATCATCTTCATCTTCCACGTCAGCTCCCATTGCTGGAGGATCCTCGAAGTCACAAACTGAATCTTAAGCCCTAAATTGTGTGGCGTGCTGGTTGTCTATCGGCTGCCTCGGCAACTGATCCAACGATCTCCGACTGCAAGACATTCGCTGAGGTGGACTGTGGCGATGTCACCTTCCAGCCGACGGCAAAAAATAAAACAGCTCTCTGCTGAAGATGGGACACAGAGAGGCAAGAGAAAGGGAGGACAATTGTTAGCTGGTGCGCAACGGACCGGCTTCAGACTAACTGATGGACTGAATGGCTGAGCGACTGCACAATCGAGGGACAATTGTGGGTGAACGGTGCTGAATTTATGTGTCTATGCGCTGCAACCCACTGCGGCAACAGCCTTAACCGGGCAGGAACCGCCAAATGCTCACTCTATCCTTGAGCCAAACCTACAAATTGCGCTTGATCACAGGTGCTGGCTCAAGCAAAGGACACGCCTCACTTCCAGCAGAATTGGACATGACGGCTGGGTTGCTCAGGAGCTGGCAGGAAGAGTTAGCAGCCCCAGCGACGGCTTTGCAGCTCCTTGCCGTGCGGTGATGATGAGTGCAAGTGTCGCTATTCGGAAGCTTCGGGATTGCTATAGACTCGGACTCCAAGCTTCATGATCGAAACCGCAAGGAAGCACGGCTCCTGCGGGCTCTTCGCCCGCTGCACAGGACTTTGCCTCCAATGATAGTCACATCCAGCTTCTTGCAGAATGATGATCATACTGCCCCTACGAGAAGAAACAGTCAAAACAGCAGTGCCGACTGCTGCGCTTGCTTGACTCTTGTTTCGGTCATCTTTTTGTATGCCAGAGCCAGGCCAGCAGGCATCTCAGATACATCACGGACACACGGTCAAACGGAATTCATGGAGCTGTCTTGAGAGTCAGAGGCCGTTCGAAAGAGCTCCGTCGCCTCGGACGCTCAGCAGGATGCATGCCCTTCACCATTTTAGCAACTATAGTTAATATAGATTCACTCAAAGAGGCCTAGCGATGTGTTTGGCACATGGAAGAAAGCCAAGCCAGCATATTGTGTATCATATGTACCATATCATGCTGTATTAATCCATTTCAGCATACGTATATACAACATGAAACGGCCTGCAAGGATGTGCTGAATAGGGACACGAAATAAGTAGGGTTTTGGGGGGTGTATTCTACGATAACCGTTATCATAATAGGGAAACCAAATTAGGAATAGCATCGGTAACTGAGCAGGCTTTCATAATTTGCAAGACCAGTGGCATCCGGGATCTGACCCGGAGCAGGCTCCAGCGTGACATGCTTCCAGGGAACCTCTTTGCCGTGAGGGGTGAGCCACACCTCGCTCGCTGATCAGGCAGCTTAAGCCCCTGAACCCTAAACCCTACTACGAGGGTTGAGACTTTAGGGACCTCAAACCCCAAAAACCCAAAACAAGGGTGGCAGTGTTGAGTCCCATGCTCAGCAAATTGCGTGCCGAGTCACCCCTTCTTGCAGCACCGGCTGTGAAGCTCTTTGACTTACTGCCCTCAGACCACGGCCAGTTAAGGGCTGAGGGCTTAGGGGGTTTAGGGGTTTAGGGTTCAGGGTTTGGGAAAAAGATGCAAGGAAAGAGAGACTGACGGAATGTTTCGGCAAGAAGCGGCTCTCCGATCAGAAGCTCCGTGTGGTGAAATTTCGGGAGCGACGGCCGGTGGCTTACCTTGTGACATAGGCGGCAGCTGCTTGGAGTCACTCACCCTTACTAGGAAGAAGAGGTTAGGGTTCAGGGTGTGGATCATGCTATAGTAACTGCTATCCCGAGGATACTTATTGCGTGCAAGGCTAACTGTCATTGTCAGTGGGCAGCACGCCAAGCAGCGCATGACACCGTCTGCTTGTGGTTCGATCACAGCGCTGCCTACATTCGATTGAAGCCACCGGCGGAAGTTGCAACCACAACACCGTCCAGCCTCAGAACCTGCATCCAAACTGGACCTGCGCATTACATGTGAACAGTATACACACACACACACATGTATACACACATGCACATGTATGCGCGTCTCTGTGCGTATACAAGGATCAACGTACAACATATTGCATCGTATTGCTCAATGCCTAAATAGATGGCAAAACGATGTAGGCAACTATATCCTAAATTACAAGCAGATATTTAGCTTGTATAGGTAAGAATATTATTATGGCTACAATTCTGCAAAGGCGCCGAGGTCATGGCGAGCCTCAGACTTGCACACAGCAGCGCAGCTTCAGGCAGGGTGTCAAAAACGGTCACACAAGTTTTGATGTGAGGTCGAGGATTTTGCGGCTTCGGGCGGGTCAAGGCAAAGACTACGTGAACATCAGTATGCGACCCCAGCGGCCCTTGTCAGCACTTTCCCGCAGTGCTATTGCAGCCCGGACGAAGATATGAGGAGGGGGGAGCGGGGCAAGTGCGGTGTACGCACGTCCCTCCCGAGTCGGGTTGAAGTCTGCCAACCCGAAGAGTCAGAGTCAACCTTCATGAGGCAAGAGCAACTGGAACAAAGATAAAGACAGGACTACTGAGCACAAGGGGAAGCATTGATGATCCAGGCTCAACTGCTCTGCCTCTCCTTGAACATGCCGGTAACATGCCAGTAAACAGCAATGCCAGCCGCATAGATCCTAGCGACAAGACCACCGGCAATGCCTGGTTGGTAGCCCCTTTTCAAGTCAACTGTATACCCAGAACCCACATGCCAAGTCCTGATGCCCCCTTACCTGCATGACACTCGGAGCCTGTCTCCCCAAAACACGATGCGCCAAGCTTCAGCGAGCCACGCTTCAATTCCTTCTGCAGCTCCTGCGAAACGTTAAGGCCCCTATTAGGGACTCCTTTGTATAAACCCTAAACCCTGAAAGGCACTCTAAGGGTGCTCTGCCCTGGGCCCAAGCTTCATGCTTCAAGCCCTGAAACCTCATACGACTTACACCCGTAAACGACTCACTCTGAAGGCTTGAAACTAAATGCTCGACGCTCGAAACCTAAACCCAAGCGCCCAGCTGTTCATCCCCTGCCTCCAAAAAAGGGGATCCTAGACCAAACCAGACTTTAGCTGCGCTTTTGTCGATGTGGGTCTGGGGCTTCGGGCTTGTAAGCTACGGTTATATATATAAGGCTGGGAAGTTACACTAATTTCGGAATCGTTCAGGACCTAGGACCGGACCTTGTAAAGCTGCTCTTCCATGCTCACTTCAACGGCGCTGGTGCTCTCGTCCTCCAGGCATGGCGCTGCGTTGGTTGGTGGCTCAGGGTGCATATTTCGACTTGCTCACAGCTTTGGTACGCTGAATGCAAACGATATTGCCCATTACAAGCACAGGGGAGGTCATAATGAGGAGAGTGATGATGGTGGCGAGCATACCGCTGATACTTATCTGCGGCCTTGCCCGCATATTTATTACCATCAAAGTTTGGCCCTATTCATTAGCTCATTAGACCAATGCCGGAGTTATACTCCATAGTATCGACACATTTCGTCCGGCTTCACTTGGAATCCTTTGCGGCTAACTTGAACTACCCTGTCCAGCACAGCGATGACGCCAGTGCTCGGAAAGTCACCTGCAAGACGGACACTGGCACAAACGGCACAACAGTAGAACTACCAGGCGTGGTGCAGGGTGCTCCCTTCGCTGTAGTGGTTGGCAGCCAAGTTGCCGCACAATGCAGAGGCTTGCTGAACTTCGCCCAAGCCTGCACTGGGTGCAACCATCTCCCAAGTGCTTGTTAAGTCCCTCGATCGTTCGAAGATTAGACCATGTGTGTGATCACACCGCAGAAATGCCGAGCAGCTCAGTGCAGACTGGCGCTTGAGCTCATTGAAGCGAAGGCGTGACCTTACAGCAAAGCTGGCAGCTGCCCTCTGCCACGAGAGTAAGATGCCAAATCTCTTAGCTTCAGGCTGTGACGGGGCAAGCATTGGGCCATCCTCAAAACATGTTCACGACTTCATGAAACGGAAGCTCCTCAAGTTCCAAGTGAAAGGACCCGCTCCTTCTGTCCGGCCCCGTAGAGTTCATTCCCGAAGCTCCGTGCGACGCGAGGGAAGACGATGCCTTCAAAAGTCGCGCCCACCATGAACTTGCAGCATAAACATTTATACTATATAACTTATGTATATACATGCACCCCCCACACACACACACACACACTCTGTTACAATACATTCAAATAGACGCATACCATCCTCGCATAGGTTTCCCTGGAAGCTGTGATGATGGGCCGCCCTCGATTGCCTCGACTCTTACCGGTCCCCCACGACGGCCTGAAGCAGAAAGGTGGGTTGCGCTCTTAGCCTTGTGGAAGCCACTGGAAGACCGCCTCAGATACTCCGGAAAAACGTCGTGATACAAATCTTCATGAATAGCAACACCAACACTACAACCTACAACAACCCCCTAAACCCATATATATATATATATATATTTATACATATATATATATATATACAACCCCCAAAACCCCTAGGTTGAAGGGCGAGCACCCAATCGAGGCATGGCTCGAGTTGCGCCGCTCCTCGCTTCGGCCACGCAGCGCCTGCGAGCATGGGATCTATTTCTATATATATATATATACCTATATAGATATCCATATATATATATATCCATATAGATATCTGTATATATATATATATATATATACATACAATTCTGTATTATAGAATCATGCGCGCATGTGTGGGGTTTAGGGTATAGTGCTTAGGGCTGTAGGGTTGGTGGAAAATGTCAGCATCCACGTCTGTACGTATGCAAGAATGCACGCATGCACCCAAGAATGTGTTGTACCTGTCATCCACCTGATCACCATCAACAGCATGAGCTCGCGACCGTCACCGCCCTTAGTTCATGAGTCCTTATTATGCCACCCTTGTAACCCCCTAACAGGAAGCTCGTGTAAACGCAAGTTGCTCTCATATAGGTTTATATAGCCGCCAGTCTCGAGTTTTCGATTGCCCAAACAACGACTGCAAATCCTAATCAAACGGCAACAAGGGGGACCATCGAAAGTTCTACACTCCACACCTCTACACCCTGAAGTTGCCCAAAACTCTTCTCCGACCAGCGCTACATGTTGGCTCCTTTTCCAATCTTACCTCAACTGCGAGGCCTGAAGCTTCGAAGCCCCAACCTCTGAGCACCTTCGAAGGCTGCCAAACAGTACCACTCTGAATACAATACCCGAACCCCCAGGTACCTACTATATAGGGTACTAGAGCCCCTGGGGCCCTATATAGTAGGTACCTGGGGGGTTAGGGATAAACCACAAGAGACCCCTGAAGCCCCCGAAGGTCCGACTCCCGAAACCCGCAAAGCCCTAAATCTGCTTCCCAGTGGGATAGGGAGAAACCGCACTCTCTTTCGGGGCTGGTTTTTCAAGCTATCAGGCAGGATCCCCAGCCACAAAACACACAACAAACCCAAGATTGACCAGGTAAACACCTGCCCGGATATCAATAAAGAAGTTTAAAACCCAAGCCCCAGAGCCCTAAACCCTAAATCCCTGCAGTAAGCCCCGAAACCCCAAACGCCGGACATCGCACCAGCATCAGGAAGAGCCGAGCGAAGGCCAACCGCTGGCGCTCCCCAGCAGATAGCAACGCACTCCAGTCCCGGGTCTCCTGTCTCGGGCAAGCATTCACGGTTTATTGATTATCCCTACCCCCCAGGTACCTACTATATAAGGTACTAGGGCCTCTAAGGCCCTATATAGTAGGTACCTGGAGGGTTAGGGTATTGTCTTCGCATTGAAAACAGAAAACAGCATCATGCGATTTCACGAGCATCATGATACGAATGTTTGGTCTCGATGCGGCAGGTATATCCAGACAAGGGAGCTCATGCACATGTGAATCAAGCAGAAGATCGAAAAAACCCCGATACTGACCAACTTAACAGGATGAGCAGCGATAGAGATCGCAAGCGACCCTTTGGGGTTTAGGGTTTAGGGTGAAGCTTTTCCAAAGCACCAATGTTCAATCCCATTGTCACGAAAGCTGGACTGCATTGTAATGCATGTCTTCGTACGAGGTTGCTTTGACCGGATTTGTCTCACTGAACGCTCCGCTCAAACTGCGTGTAGTGCACGACGGTTCGGGTGAGACACCCTCGCACGCACGAAGAACCCTTCGCCTCCTCTAAAAAAACGGGGCCGAAAAAGCCCTTACAGATCTACCCTGTAGGAACACCGATACGAATCCTCAAGATCCCTTGAAGAAGCCCTTAAAGTAACTGAAAAGGCCCTTATATAAACCCAGAAAACCTTCACCGCGCATCTTGCCTTTGTCACTTCTAACTTCTCAAACATTCCGCAAGTACATCCTAAACCCTAAACCGGCCTAAACCCTACTGGGCTCTGGCTCGGATCTCCTGCAAACCCCACCTGCGCAGGAGAGGCTGCAGCAGCGCGCGCCTGGGGCCCATAAGTTTGCATCGAGGCTCCATGGCAGGTCTGGGGCTGACGGCTGCTGTACTACAGCATGGGCCACAGCGATGTAGGCATGTGTCTGCTGTACTTTCTGAAATTAGGTGTATATACGTATTATCTACAGTAAAGGCCACTCAACCCCAAACCCTAAACCCTAAACCCTACAATAATACAATAAGGGCCACTAAACCCCAAACCATAAACCCTAAACCCTAAACCCCAAACCATAAACCCTAAACCCTACCAAGACGAAAGGCCCGACGTCAGTTCAGTCAGCCGGGGCACTTCAGAGCGCGCGTGGCCATCTCTTCGAGGCCGCTCCTTTCAAAGAGATGCAGGGAAGGCTCGGAAAGGGGGGGGGGTTTAGGGTTTAGAGGTTTAGGGTTTTGGGGTTTAGGGGTTTAGGGTTTAGGGTTTAGGGGTTTAGGGTTTAGGGATCGGAAGAATTCATCCGGTATTAAAGGGGGTTTGGGGGGCTTGGGGGTTTTGGGCTTCAGGGATTGAACAGGAGTGGGGTTTGTCTAGGCCGCATTTAGGGGAAAAGGGGGTTGGGAAGCACCTGGGTTTCGGCTGAGGATTTTGAGGTGAGGGTGCGGTTCGCAGTTTGTGGCTTCAGCTACTGGAGCGTAGAGAGTGCAAGACCAATGTGGGGGTTTCCGAAAATAGGGGACCCTAATATAGTACCCTAAATAATAGGATCCTTATTATAAGGACCCCCAAATAAGGTACCCCCTAATTTCGGAAAGACCAATGTGTTATTTTATTGCGTTCAGGGTTAGACGTCGGGTTTCTGGGGAAGGCTTAGGGTCGGGCCGGGTGGCAAAAGGGTCGACATAGCTTGAAACAGGGTTTAGGGTTTAGGGTTTAGGGTTGAAACGCTGACAGAGATTAAAGATGCTTCGACTGGTTGCAAAGGGTGTCGGTCCTCTCTGCCCATCCAAAGGATGTGAGCTGAGCAGGATAGATCACGGCCTTCGCTCACAAGATTGCTTCTTTCAGAAATCATCCAACTGCACTCTCGGCGCGTTAGACTCGGCCTTGGCGTAGGTATGCAGGCGTGGCAGAGTGTGCGCGCAATTGGAAAACTCACCCCCCCGCCTCCAGCAGGGTCCCGACGGGGAAGTAGGAATTCCTGCGCGGCCGTTTAGTCTACCAGCCGTCCGATTGGCATGCTACCATGCGGGGCTGAAGGATGACACATTAGCCAGCAGGGCCCCAAACCCGAATGGAAGGGCCTTAGCATTTGGAAAAACCAGTTTGGGGGGTATATTATTTCAGACTGCTATGCCAAACCCACCACATTCCCCCTTTTACGACCTAAAACCCTGAAGCCCTAAACCCAAAATCCCAGACCCTACACCCTAAACCCCTGAACTGGAAACAAAACCTAGACCCCTGCGCCCAAAACGCCCATATACCCTAGTAAACTCTAAACCTCTGACGGCTCAACTCCTAAACCTGAAGTCTAAACCTCCAGATGCAGCCGGCTCACTGGGGCAGGAAGATCACTTCAGCCCCAGGGGATTTCTCGACGACTCCCTTAGGTGTGAAGTTTAGGGTTGAGGTTGTAGGGCCTAGGATTCAAGGTTTAGTGTATTGACGACTTAGGGCTTAGGGGTTAGGCCGGTTTAGGGTGTAGGGCTTAGGATTGAGGGTCCAGGGTGCTAAACTGTAGGGCTTAGGGTTTAAGTAGGGTTCTACCTGCGGTTGAGGCATCCAATTGAACAAAAACTGGCGTCACAGAGCCCCCCCCGCCCTCGGTCCAGAATCAGAAGCTCTGCCAAGAGGCCTCCCCTGCCGACCACAGACCCACCAACGCCCGGAGGATCGATGACTTTCCGATGCCTACCAAAGCGCTCTCGGAGGTTTCGGGGGTCTTAGAGGTTTCTTGGCGAACTTTAGGCTAGGATTTCTCACCCTGAACCTGCGACTAGAAGCATGGGTCAAGACGGAGCCACACTCACGCAAGCAAGGGCCTGATCCTCCGGTGATCAGCAGGCCTTGCCGAGTTTCAGAGATTCAGGGCTTCGTGCCAGATATTCATGCGGCTCACCGGAGCCCAACTGCAGCAAGTTAGCCATAGGCGACTTTCGCAAGAGATGCGACTCTGATGAAGACCAGGAATAGTAGGATTCCCTACTTCAGGGCACCCCGGTTCGGATCCCACCCCCCCCCCCCTGCGCACGACATCTTTCAAGGCTTACGGCGTTTACGATGGAGGGTTTCCTTCCCAGGCAGATGCTACAAGCGATAGAGGTGATAACTTTGCTGCCTTTCCCAGCTTCGCAAGCAAGGCTGACCTTGGATACGCTCGAAAACGTAGCATCATGGTCCTGACAACTGTGGTTCCTAGCTGCTGTCGTCATGCTCCCCTAACCCCCCCCAGGTACCTACTATATAGGGTACTAGAGCCCCTAGGGCCCTACATAGTAGATACCTGGGGGGTTAGGGCTCATTATGGTGATGCAACATCGATAGCGCAGTAGCAACCGCCAAGATGCTCATGCACATCAAGTCGAAAATCGGGGATACCGCTCCACCCTGCCAAACTCGAGCGAAGCGGCTCCACCCACAGCTGTGGTACCACCGGGTGTGAAGACGAAGAGTGAGGTAAAGGCAAAAGCCACGTCGGTGTCCTTAATCGCAGAAGAAGCTTGCAGCATCACCCAAGGCCCCGTAATACCTTGTACCCTACAGCTGACAACCCATGCAAACCTATGAACCTTATACTGACAACGCCTCCAGAAAACCTGAAACTTAACCCCAAGCAAAAAGCTTAAGACGTGAACTCCAAGCACTCTTCACGCTTCAAAGCAAAGCCCCAACCCTAAACCCTAAACATTGGCATCAAATTAAGCTGCTGCTTCCGGTAAGAGAGTGAAAACGTCCTACGCTGCTAGGGAGGAAGACATCTACAACGTGCGTCTGAGAGGATCAGGCAAGACCTTGCCGTGCCCTAAACTAAACCCCGAACCCTAGCCGACAAGCCTGGGAGCTAGGATTAAGGGGGACCCTTGGGGATATAGACCCTCTCAGTAGTAGTACTACATAAAGCCCAACAACATTCGATAGCGCTTTCTGACTCCGAAGATCGCAGGCCGCGAAGTCGATGACTGAGTCGGCGGGCGGCTCCTCGTTGACCTCACCATCGAAGGCTTAGACTCTAGGGTTTGGGGATGTTATACAGGGGCTGTAGGGTTCACTAGTTGGGTGCAGAGTTCAGGGTGTTTAAGGGGCATAGGGGCTCTAGGGTTGAGGGGTTGAGGGCTTCGGGTCTTGAGGTTTCAGGTTTCAGGGGGGTGCTGCTTCTCATTGTCATCTGTACCATGCCATTCTGCTAGGCTCTCATGCCTCTCTGAAGCCCTCAACCCCATTCACACCCTAAAGCCGGAAACTGCATGGGCACTTCAACTTACCACCCTATACTGCTATAATATTACATACAAGTCAACAATACAGGCCCTGAAACCCAACATCACACTCCAGAGCACTAAACAATGCTACATGCCCCGAACCCCAAAGCCAAAACTACCCCGTACCCTACCAACCCGAAACGCACTCTAAACCCTACAAGCCCGCAAACACCTCAAAGCACTAATAACCTCGAAACCGCCCAAAAACCTTCAAGCCCTAAACTCATGTTTTACCCTATTACAGGGTGTATGGCTACCCTAAACCGGAAACCCCTAACCCCTATAAACCCCTATAAAGCCCTATAACCCCTATAAACCCCTATAAAACCCCATAAAACCCCCAAAAACCCTATAAAACCCTAAAAAACCCTATAAAACCCCTGAAGGGTTTCGGCTTCTTTTGCCCCTTCCTGGCCTCGTCAGCGGCTTCCCAGAGCTGCCACAGCCGCTCCCCATTCGCCTGCCTCGGTTTCCAGGAGCTCTCAATTGGTATATTGTGTTGTGTTGTGTTGATATCTGTCTATTAGAGTATGATATGTTGAACTACACACACACACACACA